AACAGGGAGTTGAATAAATTCAGAACAAAAATAAATTTTTAAACCTTAAAAGCTGCCAGATTTAATCAGAAGTAAGAATGAGTTTGGCAGCGGCAGTTGTTTTCAGCCTCCATCTCCCCTTACACCACCCCCCACCCCCAGATCTACCATCCACTTTGGTCATGCAAGATAAACCACAGAATTCACTGAAAGTTCTCACTCAGGACAGCCAGGGCTGTAACAGCAAAGACTGAAAACTTTCTGGTAGAGGCATCCAGGTACGACTCCACAATTCTTACAGGGAAGTACCATTAGTACCTACAAGTCCTGAACAGATTGACAAATTTAGAAGTTAAATAGCCCTGTGCTGAATACAGATTCTCACTTCAAAACCACCAGCATCTGCTAAACTCACCTTCTTAAGAGCATGACATTTTTCAGAAGCATGGTATCTGGATACTTTCTCTTGCTAATTTGGAGCATATCTTTATATTTATGCTTTTCTGACTTACTGACAGTTATGCAGACCCTCAAAAGCTTTGGTGTGTGCTTTATTCTGTTAATTTTAGCCACATGTTTTTTCTTACCTTTCACTCAGCTTGTCAGCACTGGAATCTATGAATCCACTTTATTTAAAATGTTTGCTTCTCTATATGTACTGCAGATTGCAATGCATCTACACCACTGAGGGAAAGCAGCCCTTTTTCCCCAATGGAAATGCAACCAGTTTCCAGGAATAACCAACCCATTACAAGATAGGTGAATTCTGGAATGTCAGCATCTAAACTAGCATTACAGACAGAATAAATCAACATTAACACTATTACACACTTTTATATAAGAGGGCTTACAAAGGTATTCTGGGGGGTCATCAAAAATTACAGTTCTCTCCCCACTCTTGGTGAAAAGTTACTCTTGTGCAGTTTTGCTTTAAATATGAGGGGGAAGGTGAGGGGGATATGTCAGCATGCAAGAAACTCCAAAAAGCAAACAGAAAAGCACAGTGATAAATAGGGAATTTTGTTTTTACCCCAGCAGAGATTTATCACTGTGAGAGTCTTGGGACTTTGACAAATTTTACAATAATGAGTTGTGTATACAGCCTACAATAACTGACAGAGAACAATATATTCCATCTGCTGGAGATGTCCCAGGAGGCTGACCTTCAAAGTCCAAAAACTTCCACATTTTTATAATTTTTCCCTCCCTAATAAAAAGCATTATGAAACAGCTATTCAGTTCATTTTTAGAAGCATACATTGCAGTGAATAGCTGTTATTTGAAGATGAAACTCAAGTGCATGTAAAAGACTTCAGCTACACTCAAATGTTACTTGTTTTTCTTCTATTTGGATCAGTCTTTACGACCTGCCACTCACTCTTGCTATCATAAGTAACTACCATCTTGATACCTAAGTGTCTTCTTTAAGTCTTACAGGAACATTAAAGATGTCAGAGAGTTCATACACGTCTTGTCATCCTGATAAGAGACCCTCCTGCAGGGGAGTATGTACACAGAATGGTTGACAGAAGTATGGGTAAAGATCAATTTTCAAGACTATAGAGAACAATTATGGCTATAATCTCAGGTGAGGATGAAATCACTGAGGGTTTTAAATCACTACATGAATGTATTAAGCCATACACCCTGGTATGAAAGAGTTCCTCAGTAGAAGCAATAGATACCCATGAAAAGAATATACCGTACTACAGTATCTTCCAGCATCACAGTTATTTTCCAGAATCGTTTTTCTTAAATCATGTTTGCTTTAGCTGTTCATTTTAAATTTCTTTCTAAATAGCTTCCTCATTTTGAGAGATTTGACTTCAAACAAGGAAACTATTATTGCAGAAGACTTTTGGCCTTCCCATTCCTGCAAGGATGGTCAAGTTTTTAGGGTTACAGAGCACTCTACATTAGTCACACCCAAAACACCATGCATGGTGCAGAACTAAGTCAGGAATTGTTTTCCTTTTAGGTTATCAAGTGTTTGTTTCAGGATTCCAACATTTATGATGTGTAAAGATTTAGTTTCTACATTATGCACTATCCAATATATGTTTTTTATTACACATACACAAGTATCTCAGAAACGTTAATGTTGATCATATCTATACACTTTACAAGGCTTCCCTTTTCTCAAACCTTCTTCATATAGAAGAGGAAAGCATTTTTGCCTAGCTTTGAAAGATATGCCTCCTAAACAAGTTTTGAGCAAGCCAAGAGGATGCTGGGTGGACATGGATAGATGAACAGGATACCCTAAGAAAAACCTTATTTTCATGGAAAAAGATGTACTCACACAATGCAGTTCCTGAATTAAGGTAAATCTCTCCTTTATCAAGGAAATTTTAACTTAATTTCAGCCTATCTCTGCCCAGAACAAGGAATTTTCTTAGTGGGACTGTTATTATGTTGCCTGCACTTGCCAGGCATTTGTTTCACATCTCCCTACAGTCTCTCTCACATCTGACCAGAGCAGCAGACTAGAAGAGCAGTTTTAAAGCAACAGCTCTGCTCCTCCTAGGTCAGGCCTATAAAAGTGATCTAATTCAACCTTGAAGTTTGCCATCATCTGTAAAACATCCAGCCCCCACAACCAATGAATAAAGTATTCCACTACAGCAACACTGAAATAGAAGCTGGCATAGCCCTTTTCAATTGCCTTTTTCTATTATTATTTTCTCTGCCTTTTCTACTTTCAGCTTTTTAAGAGAGGAAAAAAATACCCCCATTTACAGGCTTGAAGCCTAGTACTTCCACTTCCCAAGAATAGAAGCCTATTAATTCTGGCAAGGAGTACTTCACTGAGAGAAATCAGGTTTAAACTTTTGAGAGGTGTCAAGAATGTTCAGTCAATTGAGCAAGTGAGTTAGCCAACTACATTCCTGGAAGCTTTGCAACAGAAGGAATGAATCAGAAAAATCAAATGAAGTGTGACTTACCCCTGACACTGGCTAAGGCAAAACGTGAAAGAAAATGAAAAATAGATAAAACTTAATTGGTAAGGGAATAATATGCATGGCTGTCTCTCAGAACAAGAATAAATTAAACCAGCTATAATAAAAGTACAAGAAAACATTTTCAGAAAAAGTGGAAAAAATTCTTTCATTTTCCTCTGTTACCAAGCTGTCAGGCAGAAAAAGATACAGGCTTGTCTTTTCAATCTCTTTCCTTTGATGCACAGAGCTTTGCTCAGACTAACTACGAACATTTAAGGAACATAGCTTAAGTAAATAAATGTGCACTGGCAGAGTCATGAATACAGACAACAGTCCTCAACATCTTAACTGTCTTCAGTACTGTTACAAGTTACACAGCACTTTGCTGCTTGTCCATCGCTGACTGATACCACAGTATCAAAAATACACTCCACAAAATCTGCTATTAAATGGTCAGCAAGGGTAGCTGCACAAGGCTAATAAACATGCTGAGAATGAACATAGTATTCTGTTAAGAGACATGTAGTTAAAGCAGCAACTTTATTTATAAGTCACATCCTTCATCCCTTTTCCCAGAACCCTATAAAAGTGCTGGAAATGCCAAACAACAATTAAAATACCACCATTGCTGAAAAGCATTCTGACCTCAAAGTGGGAGATACAAGACTTATATAAGGTTATAAAACATAAGGAAGAACATGAGGGGTAATGAAAACCTCCATCAGTGGAAGAAAGAAACTCTTCCTCCCATAATGGCAGTTCATGGCTATCAGTTGCATGAAGCAGAGGCTTGAAGGTCTTTCTAAATCCCTGTGGGAGTCAGATGGTCCTACCACTTACAGACGTGCCTCAACATGCCACAGCTCTCAGATCCCTGCTATTCCACATGTGACCGACTGCCCTAGCATGGATGACATAGGTTGCATTGACAATACAATCTAGCAACTCTGTGAAGTCAGAGCAACCCAGTGAAACTCCTACCTTTGATTGTGTTGAATACATAAGACACTACATATTCCCTCTGAGGGCAAAAATATTTAAAATACTTTTTAGTATAGAAACCATCATGTCAAGACTAGCCATACTCTCTCCAGGCTGAAATTGTGCGTCAGCTTCAATGTCACGTAAAAGTAGCAATTTTATACGGAGTTGATGTTCAGGTTTATCAAAGACAGATGAAAACCTAAGTCAAAGCACCACATGATAACATACCTTAGACTAGGGCCAGCATCTCTGGATGCCTCAGTTAACTTGGCACGGCTTTGCATGCCTCTAGGTATGGAACATAACTCCTCAGCTCAATCTCCCCTTGAGCTAAAGATTTAGCAGATCCAGAGCTAGCACAAGTTTCCCCAACCCCATCAGACAAAGGAAATCAACACAAAGGTGGAAAAATTAGCTTTCCAAAAAACCTCACGTTATAGTAAACAATACTATTTCATACCCACATTTCCACTACAAACTTAATGTAAAAAACCCAAGAATTTTACAAACAAAGCAGTATCTTAGCTCAGCAGTGAAAGTCAGCCAGTTTCCAGGTTGAAATACAACAGTCACTTATAGCAACACACAATATTTTAAACGAAGCAAGAAAAACCCCACTTATCAAAACCTCTTGGTTGATGTAGGCATAAAAATATTTGGCTATTCCTATCACAATTTATTTGCACAATGTTTAAGAGGGTACTGTAAAAAAGTAAAGACTTTTCCTGTTTTATTTTCCTTCCTTCAGGCTCTATGTGAGGTAAAGTTTAACGGTGGGGTAGATCTGAGGAAGCTTTCCATCCACCTCTGAGATAATTCAAAAAAGTAGAATTAACAATATATCCGACATCTTAATTGAGTTAATTTTGGTAAACAAAGAAAGCTCTTTTGATGTTCACACCACATTAATCTGAAGATTTCCTTTAATTTGTGTCCCCCTGTTTTTGTTATGTAATTGTCCTTGGTTTGAGGCATCTTGCTTTACTGATTAGTTTAAAATTATTTTTTCATGGAAATTTTCCCTTCATCAGTTCAATTCACTTTAACATTGTCTCTTAGAAAATGCTAACCTGAACATAAGTGAAAGTAAATTACCTCCTGGTTCATCAATGTAGAAAGACACATCTTTTTTGTCTTCGTGTTCATCAATGTGATCATAAGTGATCTGTGGAATAGACAAGGCATTCTCTCCTGGGTTTATTACTGGTGCAGAACTGTTACCACTGCCTAGTTTCCCTTTTCTTTTGTATCTTCTAGCCTGTGGTAGTAGAAATGGGATGATATCAGAAGATACTATCAAAACCAGAAAAGTACACGTGAAATTCACTATACAGTAAACTCATTTGAGGTTGTATTTTTATTTTTTTTAAAGAATGCAATTGAAATTCAGTGAAAGTGTTACAACTTTGGTTAATTTCAAAGTGGCTGATTCTCAATTACCAACTTAAATCTAGTAAGAATTTGATTCTCAGGATTAGATGCCTAGCACGTTCTGAAAATCAGGTCTTAAATAATATTTCCTCAAACTGGGTCCAAAACTCAAGGCACCCAAAATACTAATCACTTGAGTATACAACAGCTTGGCTGTAACATCTTTCTAAAGTTCTAATTAAACATAACCATAGAATTTGAATTATGAGCTTCAACTCCAAAGTTGAAGTTCTCCTGATTTTAGAAGTCTAAGAGGCAACCTAATAAACACCCAATAACTGGTACACAAGAACAAAAAATGAAAGTTTGGATTCAACTGGTTCTAAGCAAGACTGGTCTCCATCTGCCTTTGTGACTAGAAGTGACCAACATAACAGCCACTCATATACTGACTACGTGGCCTGTGCTGTCTGCTTCCTGGATGCTGCCACCACCTAGCTATATAAATACTATTTATTTCCAGTCTTCATGACTACCTACCCTTTGGCTCTAGTCCCACCTAGTTCTACTACTCACACACCTCAAAACAGAGGTAAGAGGCATACTTTAATTTGCCTGATGCTCCAGTAACCTTCTGACAAGGAGCCAAGATCTAAGGCTACTGCACTCAATTCTGCAAAATACTCTGGCCTCTGATGTGACCACTAAGCAGTTAGCAACATAAACATCAGAGAGAACGAGTATTCGCACATATCAACATAAAGAGCTGCAGGCTCAATATATTCACAAATGGGACAATGCTACTTGGTCTAAGTAAACCAATTCTTATTTTATTACGGTCTGCACTCAGTCTTTTGGAATTCAGTCTTCTGTTCAGCTCTGCAGCAATTAAACAAAACCATGCTTGAAATTAATCAAACAAACAGGGCACAAAAAATGGTAGAAATGGGCATTTATTGTAGACAGCAGATGCACTACCATGCATCAAAATGCTTCTAAAGGCAAAGATCATGGGCTTTCATAGCAGGAAAAGAAACTAGGAATTCTCTGGAGAACAAAATGCTACAACATGCACAAGATGATCAATATACATTTAAGTCTTTAAAATAAGAGGCTAGGTAGAGAAAGAAAGAACTAGTCTCCTTTGACAAGAGAAAATGATCCATTTGTAAGAGATGAAAGAACCATTATTATGTTCTTGAATTAGGGTTAGCAGTTCACAGGGAAGTTCAGGTTTAATAATGTTAGGGAAATCCCTCTCACTAGAGAAAACAGAGGGAAAATACTAAGGGCACTAGAAACTAACTGTTTTTTCCAGCTGTCCCACCATGGATTGCTTGCTGTTCAGCAACACATACTACCCAGCCTTACTTCAGCTTTTCTCCTTTCCTCCTGGTTTTTCTGTCTCTACTTATGAAAAAGCTAGTCTCATAGCAAAGTTACACTCTGCTTAACCCCGAGTAGTTTGCACTGCTGTAACACCAAAATCTATGCATGCATACATGCTGATACAGCTTTCTACACATGCAATACTGCAATTCTCTGCTGGGCAACAGGCATCAGTGGGATTTCACTGCCTAAAACCAGGCCTCTAACATCACTTTAGAAACGCTGGGTATCTGAGCTAGACCTGCTGCAGACCTGGGCCTTTCCGGAAGGGGTGCTGAAGGCTAGGCAAGCTTGCCAATGAAACTACATAACTATGTTTAGGCAATCCCACCTGTGTAGACAAACACTATTCCACTTTACTGCAGCCACAGCTCAGCGATTTGCCCGAATTTCTACACACAACCCCAAATCAAAGTACCGTGGAGAGAAGTACTTGAGCAAGAAAAGCATAGATACTGTCAGCCACATCTTGAATGTGAACATAAATTTTTAAACTTCCTTTCTTCCTGTATGAACTACTATGCAAAATGGGAAAGTGTCATCATTGACTTACACTACCCTTTGAGAAGGTAGAGGAGACTTCAAAGGGGGTAAAACAATGGAGAATTGGCACCTGTCTGACCACCAGGGCAAATTTAAAATTAGAAGACATTTGTCCCTCAGGAATATTTTAAGGAAAACTAAACTAATCATGCTGTGGCATGAGAAAAACCAATCAAATGTCCCATTACAAATGCCTTTCAGCTCTCCAAATTCTTTGGACACTTCATAAGGATTTTGGCAAGTTATCCCAATCAAATCAAAAGCAAGAACAGAATAGAGCTCTGCCAACTCTCCATTACCTGTTTTCTCAGACTAGGGCTAGATGGCGCTGGTGGTTTTTTGGGATTTTGCAGTGGTGATGTATAGATCTTCCATGTTGCTGTAGAACTGCAGGATTTCTCTGCTGCATAGCACCGCCACAGAGTCTATAATAAAACCCAAAACCAATAATCTGAGTGAATAAGCAGTCACTGTTGTCCTGCAGGACAGGTAAGTCAGATTTTGCTGCAAATCAAACTGACAGCAAAATCTTCAATCAATGTAAACATGCTGCAAAGGGTTCTGACTGCAATCACTGTGCTATACCACACAACACTATGCCTAATAAAATACACTCTCCCCTGTATATAATTGTGGTGAGTGTAACTTGCACCAAGAAACATACACTCAGCACACAGTGATCTTAAGTACACTCTTTGTACCGTTCTCCCTAAGAGCTGGGGTCTAACCCTGTCCACAGTTAAAAAAAAAAAAAAACACACCAAAAAAACCCCCCACACAGCACAAAACCAAACAACCCTTACAAAAGGGAATCCCCACAAGCACCATGGAATACTGCTGTTTCCCTTTTTCTGCAGTGTGCCCCATTTTAGTATTTGTGCACCACGCTACTGCATTCTTTATATTATCATATAGAACGTTACGCTGGGACATTTTTCTAAACTGAGGTGTGTGTATACATGTATATGTATACACATTCATCACCTCAGGATTTGGCAGAGGCACAGGACCTAAGGGAATATAAAAAGTTAGGAATTAAGAGTATAACAAAGACTTTTTTTACTATTTTGCCAAATAGACTCATTGCATCCAGTTAGTGTCACTATGTCTGTGAATATCACAGGTTAGTAAAGCCTCCTATGCTCACTCATAAGAGGGGGGACAGGCAGTTATCTAATTCTCTCTAGTGAATGAAGTGGATCAAAAAGACAAAGTGGTTAAACACAAGTTATAAATTTATTATAAAGTCTAGTAACTCTGATTCTCAGTGCTTTAACTACTAGGCTACACTCCCTCTCCAATACTCTCCTAAGCATTTTACTGTTAGGGGCCTTACCTGAATTAGAGAAGCTGCAGCTGGGATTTGTCTGTTGAAATGCTTCTGACGTTGCTTCTGCTGTACTTTCAGGGCAAAACCAGACCCCAGAATACCCTAAACATAGCCAAAATTGCTAGTCAGGCTCCAATATGGCTTCACACGCCTAAACTTAGCATATGAAAACAGACATTTTATAAAAGACTTCCCTAGAAAAAGAAAAGTTCTGAATTTTCAAATGTCCACAGTGACAGAATTCTATTTATTCCAACAAATAAATCTGAAATTGAGCATGTTGATATTGGCATCACGTAATGTCAATAAACAGCCTGTGTTTATTGCTGTTATCTACAGGTAACATTAGTCAGACGCGTTCACAAAGGCGGTCACGTTCCAAAGGCGACCCTACACAATGGTGGGAGAAGCAAATGCCAGTGTCACATGACTGATCTAAAGCTGTTCTTTGCACTTATTTTTAATTCCTTGCCACAGAAAAAGGCCACAACTAAAGCCAGTATCCAACTTGATTTTCCAGGCAAATTGAGCAAAGAAGCCAAAGATATGCTTTATAATTTCAGCATTTCTGTTAAAACTGATAGTTACCGAAGAAATACTTTGTCTTTTCTAACTGTTTTGATTATGATGTCTTTATTTTCCCCCCATTCATTTATTTGAAGATCCAGAAAGCAAAAAGATGCTTTATAGTACCATGTAGGAAAGCAGATGCAGTTTCCTAGACCTCTGCTTCATGGCACTGTTCTTCTCCTCACAGGACCCCAAATTGTTCTTATATAATCACAAAATAGCAGAAACAAAGGAAGTTTCACCTCTGGCACTGACATGCCGATAAAAACCCCTCTCTTTCTCTTTACCTCACAAAATCGCTTCAGTTCTCCGAGTAGTAAAAATTATTCTTACCTCCTTTCTAGGCCACATCTCTCTAAAATGACTGCAGTAAAGATACAGCAGTTTCATTGTGTGTGTGCACAGACACACAAACATACACTTGAGGATGTGTGCATCCACATTCTGAAGCAACACCCAACCCCATTATTTCCTATCAAATGCACTAATTTAAAACTAGCTAATTGTGAGCCCAAGTTAGACAGACACTTTAATAAAGTGATCCAAGTTCTACTTACCGCTGGCAGAGCAAAGAAAGATATAGCAAATACTGAAAAACAGGAAGCTATTGTCTTCCCAATCCATGTCTGGGGAACTTTGTCTCCATAACCAATTGTTGTGACTGTTACCTAGGCCAGAAACAAACATCTGATTCACTGCAATGCAGTACCTTTTTTTCCCCAAAAGCAGGAAAAAAGAAAGAAAGAAAAAAAAAAGTAGGGAAGTATCAGGAGATACATATGGATCAGTGCTTGGATCTGTGCATAAAGAAACCACAGGAGTACGCTAAACATCACTGCAGATTTATCCTGGTTTTACATTCTCCAACAGGCATTCACAACTGGCCGCTGTTTTGGATGCAACAGTAGTCTGGACTCAGGATGACCGTTCTCAGTTTGTAGCTGGCTGCTTCCACCTTCCCAAAACTCCAAGGATTGGCCCTATGGGCTTGAAACCATAGGCTTACAGTTTTTGTGCACTTACTTTTAAAGTGTAGTTCCGCAGAGTTGAGAAGCAAGCCTTGAAAGCACTGACTTGCACACAACCAACGCACATACATCTGCCAAGCTCTGCAGTCAGGCAGACACTAGCTGCGGCAGGGTAAGCTGTGCCCTGTGCTGGCGGGAAGGAAAAGGGACAGAACTAACACCATCCCAGCTGAATCTCCATAGCAAGAGGAAGAACACACAACCATTCCAGGACATGTTATCTCCCAAAGTAAATATGTCAGTAGACTAAGAGCTAAATACAGCTGAGCTCTATACTCAGCCTTTTTTCCTCCCCCCACAAATACAGTTCTTTGCCACTCAAAGTTGTGTTTAAGTCATAGGATGCATCATATTACTGTACCTGCATCTGCTCATTACTTATCAGGGTGCAGCAAGGGCCAGGTAATTCCTAAGGGATGGGGAGCCCAGAATCAAGGGAGATTACATAGCCAGCAGGGCACTGCCTCCCCAGTCAGGACCCAGTCCCACAGCACCCAAGCAAAACAGATGCAGAAAGAGCAACCAGATCCAACCAAGAGACCAGATTATAAGGCAATATCACAGCAATGAGGCAGGTCCAACATCAAGCCAGGAAGACCACCCACAGGTCAGGGTTAGGATCAGGTCCAGTAGTCAGCATGTACATCTACAGGGATGAGACTAAGCCAAGCTACCAGCCCACAGCTTGAAGTCAGGATCAAGGAACTCCACAGCCAGACACAGCTGCAGTTGAGCTACGGACCACCTCTCTTCTAGCTGAGTGCTGAGCTTAAATAGAGCCCCTGGGTGTGGGCCACAGGTGATGCTGGTCAGGGTCATTAGGCCAATTAGTGCCCTCAGGGCCGTGACAACAGCCTCCCCTCTCAGCAAGGCATGTCCTCACCAGGTCTGTGATCAGTAGGGACTTGCTGTAGAGGGACTAAATCACTGTGGGAGTGTCAGGCCACCCCTGAAAAGCCACAGAGGCAAGGAGGGCCTGACTGGGTCAGAGGTTTTGGGCTGTTCCTGATAAGCCCCAGCAGGTTGGCAGAGAATTCATTAGGAGCCCAGTGGTCAGTAAAGGGTTGATGCTGTGGGGGAATCAGAGTCCAGGTGAAGGCTGGTCCATCAGAAGGGTTCTTAATGTAACAAGGGCCAGCTGCTCCCCAGTGGAAGGTGATCCCAAGGCGGGATCCCAAGGCAAGTCAAAGGAATCCCACTGCTGGCCAGACAGCGGCCTCACTACACTGGGCCCAGCCCCACAGCAGGATAGACTCACAAGCAGTGGCCATGTCCAACAAAGAGTCTAAATCATACGGCAATATCAAGATGATGAGGTAAGACAGAGGTTGAGTACGGAAGTCAGCCCATAGGTTGACCATGTCTGAGCTGGGGACCAGCTCTCCTCCAGCACAGCTCAAGCAAGATATAAATACCCAGGGATAAGCCTAAATAGAGGCCCTGGGCCGTGGGTGTTGGAGGTGGTCCCAGGTGTGGCTGGTCAGAGCCATTAAAGCTTTTTAGCATACTCAGACACTGCCAAAAAGATGACTTGCACCTCTGAGAAGAGGAAAGCTTCTGGTGAGGAAATGAAGAATTCTGTCACCAATACCAACCACTGGGGAGAGCTTTAAATAGAAAAAATATACTTCTATTTGGGAGCACCAGCCCTAAGCCCAGTCCCACTCCCTTCACTTTGCCTTGAATGGTAGTAGAAATACAGCCAAAACAGACTTAAAAGAATATGTAAATTTACACTGACTACAAAAGAGGATGTGGAAATACTGCCTTTTATGGGAAAACTTGCTGACAAATACTTAGATATTATGCAAAAATAGGCTTCTCAGAAGAAACTATCAGCAATAAAGGCATGGGAAGAATATACTTTCTTCTCCTCTCAGAGCAGTTCTACAGAGAGCTGGAAGGAAGATTTGCAGGGAAAAAATGACCAACTACTATCAAACTGAGTTTTTCCAAGTTCAAAAAAAATTAGGCTTGTGCTTATTCATCATGAATTTCTCACCTGACGAAGTCAACTTTGTAGTATCTATATCCTCTAATGAATATTGTTATTTTGAACAGCAAACTGCTCTCAGCAGGCGCTCTATCTTGCCAGGTGTTTGTCCAGATTTAATGTGGCTTGCCCATGAAGTGACTCAGGTGCTATGTACTACCAGCAGTACAAACAGATGAGTTTGCCAGCCCCCAAAATTAAACTAGACCCCCCAAAATTCAACTTTGAAATGCAGCATGTGTTAGTGGAGAGTGGAGGAAGTTAAAGCAGTGTTTCTTTAAAGGCACTTCAGCTCCTCAGTGCACCCAGATGACCCCTTAAAGTCTGGGATTTTTCCTTCCTTCTCCTCTCTTTTTTCTTATGAAAGGCTTCTTGGTTTTTTGTGGTTGGGTTTTTTTTTTTTGGTTTTTTTTTTGAGTTCTCCGGCACTCAGGACTTAAAAACAAACTGCAGTAATGTTGAGCTGCCTTAGCGTTACTATGGAAGACAGCATGAAAGCTGTAACCACAGAAAAGATGATTTTCCATCTCTACAGCAGGCATTTGGCTGGCAGATTCTGCAGGTGCCTGAACATGTCTCAGAAAGTTTCTCCCTGGCTACCTTAAGAGGGTTCCTTCTTGGTAATCTAATTAGTGCATTGAAGTATGTGGAAAGGATTATAAATAATGTAATTCTCTGGCTTTTTTAATCACAACCAGAATCTTTTTCTACTTGTATATCCAAAAGTTACTAGTTATCTGCTCAGAGAATGTTTAATAACTAGGCTTTGGAAAATGACACCTTCTTTGTAACACAGATTTACTATGGCACATTCCAGCTGGTATGCACATGCTCGAACACAGGCTCTGAAAACATATATGTACACTTCAAAAAAGGAAGACGTCTAATTTAGTAGAAGTCAACAGAGCTTCTCACATGCTTTAAGATAGGCAGGTGTCCTGAAGTCTGAAGAGTCAGAACTGCACACCTCAAAAAACATTAAATATAAAGAGGTTCAAACTGCTACCTCTGGCATGGAAATTTACTACTGGAAATTCTGAGCAATTGATCCCAAGTACCTCTGCCAGTTAACACCATTTTACGGGAGTGACTATTTAACTCAAGTTCAATGGTACCGAATAGTCCAGTTGCAGCAAAACCAATAAGCATTACCAACAGCAAGAGACGAGTATGGAAGGGCCAAAAGAAGAGAAGCCTCCTACATGCCCTTCTTCTTTCCTCAAGAAAAAATACCCAGAAAGGACAGAAAAACTGCTGTGACATGGGTTGCAATTCTGGCAGACTGACAGTGCTGTTGGAAATGCTTTTGCATGTGTTCTAACATGCTATAAGTTCTGAAAGTGGCTTCGTATAAAATACCACAAGCCTTTGATATGTCTTTGCAGTTTAATCTGTGTGCCTGCCAAATCTAGGTGAAACAACCTTGCATTTAACTGGAGCGGGCAAATGTAGTTAGCATTTAATTCCAACTCTCATTCATTCTTTATTTTCCCTTTTCTTCATATTTAAACCTTTCAGGTCATTTGTATCAAGTTCAGCAAGCTTGCACTTTCTACTCAAAGCAAAATGTTACCCATAATACACTCTGTGGTTTTTGTCAGACACATAAGACTTTCAAATACTTGCTACCAAGATTTTTTTCCTATGGTTCAGTTTTGAAAGGCAAAAGTGAAATCAAATTTCACTCCCTAGTAACTCCACATCTGTGTTTCTATGTTACAGAAGATTTGAAAAGAAAAAGAAACTGATTCACTTTGTCCTTTGTCACTGTTCCCAGCTGTGAACTGCACCTGCACCGTGACTCACTAATGCTGAGGAGGCCTAGACGTCTGAAAAGCTTAAACAACAATTTAAACAGTGTTCTTCATGTGCCTCACACAGCTAGAGAAAGACAAAGCTGATTTTATCTTGCTATTACACAAAACAAGTCAAGTTTTGGAAAACAACAACAAAACCCATTGAACACTTTGTAAGGCATATACATACACTTTGAAATACAGATTCCAAGTCATCTATCTCCACAAGGTAAAGTAATGCACATTTTAAACTTATCTGTTGGTCTTCATAACTGAACTCCTTTTAAATTCCCTAAGTCAAAAATATTAACAAAATATGCTTATATAAACACATCCTGACTTTTTTGACCTTAATTTTTTACTCTTTACTCAAATCAAGACTGTAGCTTCTAGCATTTAAAAATATTTTGTAATCCATATCTAAACATTCAATGCAACTCATAAAGCAAGCTCTGGATAACTATAGCTAATAAAATAAAAAAGAAGGAAAGGTAGAAAAAGTACACTGGCTTCACATGGAAGTTTTGTTACATGCAGGAATAACCCATGCATGAATATACATGGGCAGAACCGGATGCTAAAAACCATAGCTAGTTGCCAAACTGATTGCTGAAAATCCTTTTTCGTTTTCCACTGTTTGATCAGGGGTTCTTCCTCTCTCCCATTCAGGTCTGAATTTGGGCATTTCTGGCCTTTTGCAGTTACAAGCCCAGGAATTACTTTATGAAACATCAAAGACATTGTCCAGAGCAAACGTGAATCACCATCCTTTAATGGTTACGTATTAAATTAAGACCTCCTTATTAATAAACTATATGCTTTCAATTTGTTTCACTGGTGTCATTTTAATTCACATAGTGCTACAAACCTCTTTGGAACTTCACTACACTAGAAAAATGTGTGAGATATTTCTCATAGATTTAGCTGAACTAGCGCAAACTTTTATGGTAGCCCCTAATGCTGCTGGACTTCCCACAGGAAGCGCCACTTTTAATTAGATGTACTTCACAGACTATTCAGCTAGACCATTAGTAAAAACAGAAACAGTAGCTGCGTTCCACTGTGTTCAGTCATTTGAACACTGGTATTTGAGCTGAACTGCTCAAATAATAGTAGAATAAGTGAGCCTGTGTACTGGTTTGTTTTCTTACAGTAGACGTGGGGTATCTTTCATAACGTCAATTACACCCTAATTGTTTTACTTTTGCTTTTAAAATATAGCACAATCTGTGCTTCTGGGACATTTATTCTTTTTTTTCCACTAGCTAGAGGTTATCTCATGTCTATAACCATGAGGTTTTATGTTCTGAAAATGTTATCGTATGTCTATTGAGGACTTTAACAAGTGATTGTTGTATGGGCTAGTTAACGGTTTCCTTTCTTCCCAGCACATTAGATAATCAGGTCCATCTGGCCATTTAGTGGATTTTTCTTTTTTACTAGATTCTTCTTGGTTTGTATTGTTTTGCACAGCCATAGGTGATACTCTGCAAATGAAATGAATACCTGACAACCCAATGACAGGAATTTAATGTTCAAAAGATTTTTATACTGAACAACTTAAAAAGTGGTAACTCAGGCTACGTGTAATATAATCTATATTTCTGTATACTCCATTGAAGTAGAGGCTTACGCAGCATCTAAGTTAAGGATTAGAAACATATATCTATTAGGAATTTTTTTGTCTGCCTTCCCAGACTTACTCACCAGTTTATTTGGATGCAGATAAACAATCGGTTTATGGCCCGATAACTATATTGGCATTTTTCAAGTCTATTATCTAAGAACAAATTCAGTTTATTGTGTTTCAAATCACTCTTGAATATATCCTTCTCCCTCTGGAAGTTGGTGGCTTTGCATCTGTTCTAGTCCTCTCATTTTTCTCTGTCACTAACACTGATGTGATGGATCTCCTTGGGTTTGTTATAATGAGACAGCCAACTCATAAAATATATGAGGTTCTCTCGTGGGGAAAAGGGACCATGAGAGAAGAGATGGTTCGTGCAACAGCTAAAAAGGAAGGAAAGCATGAGTCACAGTGAGAAACATGATGAGAAGAGCCATATGAAGGGAGTGTAGAAACAATCTGGTCTCTTATTCTGTTCATAGCTATCTATTCCTTTTTCAACTGATTCTGGGCATGCACACAATAATCACCACAATACTCTCAAAATCCCAGTTTCCCCTTAATGGTATTTTTTTCTTTATTTCACCAAAGATTTGCACTGACCCTGACTGATGGTTGATATCCAAAGTAGCTGATGAATCTGTGAAGCTTTGCCAGCTGCTTTTGATGGAGGTATTTACCTTTACAGTGTAAATCATGGAATTACTAAAAAAAAAAAGGAACCTGTAACCTGCATCAAGGTCTGCATTATTACTGAGAGAGTGAGCTTTACACAAAAAGGTCCAAAAAAATAAAGTCATTAACCCAACTTCCACAAATAGAATATACTTCTAAAGTTATGCACCTTTTGCAGATAACTAAGTAGAATTTAAAAGAAGTGGTATAGGGTTTGGAGAGTATTTATACTCTTTTTGAAATGTGGATTTCAATGTGGACTTCAGTGTGGACTTTTTGTATCTGTAAACATTCAATGTCCTTTGCTAAGGACTTGCTATCATGCTTGCACAATAAAGTTTAATACCAAAATAATTTAATTGCATTTATTATATTTATACCAGTATCCTTTTTAAAAGGTTGTTGAGCTTTCCTACAGAAATACGTTCTGCAAAGAAAGAAATGCCAGATTTTTTAAAAAGATCATAACTTCAACAGAAAATCTTGTTTGCACGTGCATTTTGTTGGTAAAGACTTACCACACCCCACCAAAGGGCATCAGCGTAGCTGGAGAAACCTGTCTTTCCATCCTCATCAACTGCATCCTTCTCAGCAAGATAAACAAAATAGGATGAAAAAATTAATCCCAAGAATCCAATGTACAATGTGGTTATGAGTTCCTATTAAAAGAGAAAGCAAAGAAGTGCATAAGGTTTACATTGTATATATTCTATTATTGTAAAACATTGTAAATATCTGGGGGGGGTTTGCATCACAGTAGAAAAATTAATAAGTTACATTTCAGGTATGAAATTTGCTTCCAGTAAAACAGGTAGTTCAGTGACTTTTTTTCTATTCATATCAGACTAAAGAATTCAAGAAGCCATCATTTATACAAGATCATTAGCTGTCCAGCTAAATGTAGGGTGGGACATCTCTCTTGTTTTATATCTTGCGAACGGGAATCATTCCATTTAACTGTACGCTCAAAATACTAAATGTTAGTACATTTTAAAAAAAGTAAAACAGCTTTAGAAATGCACTTTATGAATAGTACGCTAAAATAACAGTTAAGAAATAACAACCATGTCTTGTGATTATGACCATATCTAAGCAATGAACTTGTGTATCTGATATTTAAATTGCTTAAGACTGAATATTGATGCCTTAACAGTTTTATGTTAAGATAAAATAAAATCTTAAGATAAAATATTATGTAGGTGTAAACTCTACTTCAGTCCTGAAAAACAAAGACTGAGGCTAGGACAGTTAATTAGAAGGGACTTTTGTTCAGGCATGATACAGTACTTGTGAATGTACCAGTTTCTCTATAGATTTTTGGATAGGAAAGTTGTATCAGAACTGATGTGACTTAGATACAGGATTGTTATTTTCTTCAGAAAAAATGTGCTTGCGCATTTAAACAAGCCAAAATGTGTGGTGTCACAGATGCAAAAATGTGTAAAGCTTATAAAAGCAGTGCTACATTGTAATCAAATGAGATAGTCACCTACCCCTCAGGAAAATGCAATACCTAGTTATGAGGGAAAATAGCTTATTTTAATTACTTAAAGTTTACAATGCTTCAATAGTTAACACACATTATTCCTTTATTTTCTTTGCACATATTTAGCCATCTTCATTATGAAACATTGTAGTACTACATCTTCATTGGCATCTTCCTTAAATTCTTGACAGTTATTTTTCTTTCCTTGGATCCAAACCAATACAGGAATTAAAATACTCCCATAAGATAAATTTAAAATTAAAACCTAAAATTAAAATCTAAGAAGGATTGCCTCTACTTATAAAGTATGTCAGGTTTTCACAGATTTTCTGTAACACTCTACCCACGTTTCTTAAACCGTTTGTGAGGGAAGGCTCAGGTTTTATCATCAAACTTCCTTCAGATTTTTTTTTATTTCTTTCTTTTCATTTCCTTATAAGAGCTTTCTGGGGAAATGTAGCCCTGGTAGCTAGTAACTGCATTCAGCAGCAGGAACTATACTCTTCCTTCTGCTATAGCACTAATTAAAATCTAGGTTCAGCAAGTTTTTAAGCAATCTTGGCACAAAGCAAAGTAGGTGTTTTTTTCTCTAATCATTTAATAATTACCTAAATAATGAATTTTGATAGTATTCAGTTTTGCCCATGGGCAAGTCCTTTAATCTAAGCCTTAACTTTTTGCAGGCCTGTTTGCTAAACAAGACAGCTGAAAGAGGAAATAAAACTTGGGTTTTCAATAGTTCTGATTTCTATGCTGGTCACCATTCTTTTCTCATCTTTTTCTCTAATGATAATGGTACACTGTGTACTTGTACATATGACTTCATTGCTCTGAGAAGTTCCTTGTGTTTACATTTATAGTTGACTATTTGCATTTCTCTAATTTTTCACAACTTTTTGGTTCGCCTGCACAATATTTTTTCAATGCAAGGCGAAACTGTTTAACACCTGAGACTGCAAGTTCAGTGATCCATAGAAAACTACAACAGAAATGGAGACTAATTCTTGTTGCCTGCTTACAAAGAAAACACTCTGCTTTCATCTCTAGTAGATTTGTGACTTCCTTCCCCATCAACAGAAATCTTTTAGTTACACTTGGCATGTTGCTTACATCTCGGATATTAATAGGTTTTGCACATTATTGAGGAATGGCCATGACTGCTTTCTTTTAATTTTGTCTCAAAGGACAGAATTAGAGAGTGGATGATAATTGGAATACTTCTGTGTTAAGTGCTGGCTTTTTGAGAAGCAGGCAGAAAAATATGCTTTCCAGAAGTGTTATGCATAGTCTTATGAGATCTTTTCAAAGTGGTTGAAACACCAACAGAACTATTTGGCTTATTTCACCACTGGCACCTCTCAGCTTCAGTCCTATTCATCTAAAGACTTAACTCTTAGATAGATTTGTGTCTACCAATGTCAAATATTATGAATTGATACATGATCTCAAAGCAAAGAGCATTTTGCAGAAATCAGGCTTTAAAACTTCACATTTATATGATTTTTTAGTAGACGAGCTTAAGAATGAAGAGTGCTGCCTAATACAAATGACTGTTTTCAGCGTGGACTTTCAGATACATATATGCAAAGGAAACAGCAAGAACAAAAAACAAATATGCACAAAGGTAAATTTGGATATTGAGAGACTTGAGTCAACACATTTTTTTAACTTAGATTTATATTTTCAGTTACAATAAGGACCACACAATATAAAATTCAACGTTTAGGAAAAATACAAGTCAACCCCAAATCCGCAACTTATCAGTAACTCTGTCCTCAAAGCAGTAGAAGACCTCACAAACCAAGATGAGGAATAAGTAAAACTAATTGAGAGGCTTACAAGCTGGAGCTGGATTGGCTAACTCAGTTTTTCAGTAAGCTGCATGATTTTTCCATGTCTTTCCATCACCACATGTGATATTGACTCATGTTTTGTTGCTTTTGGCGAGAAATGCTTGCATAAGCTCAACCTGCTGAAAATAGAAGAGCATCCTAGCCAAATCGGGCCTAAGTGAGCTAATACAGCTATATGTAAAATTCCAAAACACATGGAAATCATTGGTGACAACTTTAGTAAGCTCTTCTGGGTCCACAGAGGTCCAAGTGTTTGTTATTTTCACAGGTCACAAAGATGTGAATTTATTTTCTCACATTGTTTAAGGGTTTAGGGTCCCATTTTTTCTGAAAGAGTACCAAACTCAACAAATAAATGAGGACCTTGTACTCTGCCTGTAAAGAAAAAGCAGCTGAGGTGTTTTTGTTTTGGTTCTTTTTTTTTAAACAAAAATTTCTTTAAGAGACTGGACAGGAATAAAGGTTCCATTTTTCCTTCCGTTCGGTACCATGCTAGGGTTTCAGCTACACTTGTCCAATGTCAATACAGAACTGTGTGTTTTTTATTAATGTGTTAGTGGGTGATCTGCTTTGACAAGTACTACAGATCTGTAAAGTTTTATATATCATCATAATCACTTCTTTGGATTAGCAGAACTTCAGGTGCGTTTATTCATAAATTCACTTCTCCAAGGGTATTTTTTTTCCTTTTAAATCATTGAACTTATTTATGTTTGTGACATTTAAGACTTAAGTGTTACATTTTGGAGATAGTATTTCCAGATTCTTGACTAAAACTCTAAACACCCACAGGAGAAAATTCTCTCAAACACCTCTGTCAGTAAGGTTAGCAAATGTTGAGAAAGTGTATTTGGATATCAGCTCTGCCCTAGCTAGATATCCAGGCAATGCGACCATAATAAATGAAGACCACACAGACTAGGAGCATTAAAATTCATCCTGTTGTACAGGATGAAAGTAAGCTTTATACTAGAGCACTTTGGTATGCATCAATGCTTCACAGCCATCGTGACATAAAATTTCCTACAGTACTGGGGGAAAAAAATAAACGGAAGAAAAGTAACTTTTAATATTAAATCAATCTTTTGGATTAAGTACCTCCTATTCTTTGCCCCAGAACAAGAGTTTTCTAAATAGCAAATGAAACAATGTCTGTGTGGAAATCCATAACTATTTCTCAATATCTGGAGAACAAATCTACACTCATAAAGAGCAGGTTAAAGAACCACCCTTACAAGTCTGATGTGAAGATTCATAGCACAGTATTAGCCCTTCACAGTATGGTATGACATGCAAGATTTAAAGGCTAATGATAAAAGTTTATTATTATGTTCATAAAGCTAAATCGCCTTTTCATCAAGAGATTCCATGAAGCCCCAAAAAGAAGCCTTCAGCTAGAAATTTTTAAAAGTTTGCACTAAAACATTTAAGCTTTTCCTGCTTAATGAACTTTTATACAGAATAACTGTTTCAAAGCTTTAACGGACAGATAACAATTTACAGCCAAGTTTACCTCTGTGACTACACCCTTGAAAAAGTAACTTTTCTTGCATATTGTCGTAACATAGTATTTTTATTTATAGAATGGATTAGAAAACTGCTTATTCATGCGGAGAAAATAGAATGATTTAAATAATTGCCTTGTTCTATCAAGGCTTTTCCACTAGTATTTGTTTTTCCACAGTACAACCAAGCTAGGAACACATCTTCTGTGAAAACAGTGGACAGTTTTTGCAATATGAAAGACAGCCCACATAACTGCATTTAATAAATTATATTAAGGATAACATCAAAGAGTATGACAGCTAATTTCCAAAAAAATACTGGTGCTGATACCCTGTTAGCCGCTGACCTGAAGCAAAGAATAGTGTTCCCATTTTAAAAGTAGAAAGAAACACATGATGGACTTTTAAAGTATTTTTTCCCTTGCAACAGCAACTGTTCGTTTAAACCAGACTATGATTTGCATGAAAAGAATATACTAAAGTAAACAAAATGCTGGGGATCTTTAAAGACCTAGTACCTGTCGATGTATGAAAACAACTGATCCTAATAGTCGCCAGGTGCCACCCTGTCGATCTACATGCAGCATGCGAAGTATCTGGAGAAACCGGATCCCCCTGTAAGAAAAATAGGACATTAAATAAAACTAATGATTGAGAACAATACTGCTCTATCTATACATAGTTGACTATGTTCACTAACATACTGCCATATCAGAGAACTGTGATAGCATTGCCCCTGGCTAGGGTTGCATCTTAGAATTGAGGCATCTCAGTAGTCAGCATGTTTAGACCACAGTTCATTATATTCAAATATATTCACAAATATTGACTAGGACAACAATTAGTTAAAAGAAAAACAAAAAAAAAGTCTAAAATATATGCTTTCAAACTCAGAGGAAACTTGCATATTTTACCTGATTATGATTCTCAAATGCTTCCTTTCCAAGCAAAACCAGTGCTTCAAGCTTTGCTAACATAAATATGAGCAAACTTTTTTCTCTATTTGCCAAAAACAGAATGTGACTCAAACATGGTATTTCTGAAGTCCTTTTTGTGTAACTTACAGAAATCATCTCATTGGAAATAGATACAGTCTTATGTGATTTTAGGACAATAACTGAATCATAAACTCCAAATACTTTCAACTAAAGAAAATAATGATCCATAAGGTTCTTCAACAGAATTTTATTCAGTGGAAATATTTCATTCTAGCCACCCTTTCGACAATGAACTTCGTTTGCCTACACTTACCTTACTATCTTATCACTGAAACAAAACAGTGAAGAGCAGGAAAGGATGAATGTTGAATTCATCTATCTGAAATTTTTTCACTAAAAGTATTTTTAGCTCTTTTTAGCTATCTTTAAAATTTTGTTGTTGTTGTTGTTTCTGTTTTTAAATTCAATCTTCTTATTTCAGTTCGTGGCTCCATTTTTCTGGGTTACACCAACAGGCAGGAAACTCAGCATGGTGCCATCCTTCAGTCACTGGTGTTACTCAGACTAGGAAGGCATACTGTCTTCTGAAAAACCCAACTTTTCCTTTATTCAGAAAGCAGGTTTTCTGAGCTTTCACAGTTGGCAGTCAAATGATCAAATGCTTGTCATTTTTTTGGAAAGCACACAGTAATCCTGACTATCAAATCACATATCAGTGACTGTGTATATGAACACCATATTTTGTTATTTCTTTGATATGCCATTGGAATAATATTTTTAATTAGCAGGAAACTTTAAAATATCCACTTAAAACCTGTTAATTGAAACATGGGTCTAAGAAGAGTTACAAGACTACCAAATACATGAGCACCAATAGACTTAGGTAATATAATAGCTCATTCGTTGCTTATGTCAGGAGGGGAGAGATCTACATGTAGCTCCCCTGTAAAATTATTAGACACACCTCTTGATGCCTTGACCTAATGGCAGTTCTTGATTTTCCTGTCTCTGTTGTATCTGAGATGATTATGGTTATGTTACTGCCAAGTGCTGACATGCATGTTATAGGCTGGCAGTTTTACAAATAAAGATTTAAAAAACAAGATAGTGAACAAGAAACTCCAGATAGACAGCCTCTGAACATGCAGAACCCATTTCCTCTGAAAAGAGAAAAGAAATTGGTTGGAAAGAAGACCATTTTTATCAATTTGGTGAACTGAAAACAGTAAGGACAGAAGGCTATAGGACTCTGCTGTGAACTCTGCAGTGTTACTAGGTTTCAGTCTCACTGGTTGCTGCAGGGATCAAAATGTCAACCCGTCATACCTGGTGGGTCTGGAGCTTGCAACTTCATTTTACAAGAAAACAACCTAGTATGCATGCACCCATGCTTTCTGAGATTGCTGGGATTTAAGGGAGGTCCAAAGAGGACCATAACAGTATACCTTAAAAGCAACAAAAGCAAAGGCAAGGATATGAGATTCATTCCTTCTTAATTCAAAAACAGCCACTCACATCCCAGTTCTGAGTAAACCTGATGGGACTAAGAGTTGCCTGACCCAGACGGTTTTTCAATGGGGCAATAACAACACTGCAGAGATGTGAGTTAAGCTTCTCTGGCAGAAAGCATTCTGAGTTTTAGGACAGTGACTGTATAATTTAACACCGGGAAAGCCTGCACTGAGCCCAAAGCCACCTGGGTTCACATATAAACACACAGCAGGCCTTTTCATTAAAGTCCTTCCTACACTTCTAGTTAAATTAAACAAAATCTTTGGAATTTTCACATTCACCCTCCTCTTCTCCTATATGAGCTGATAAATCACATTCATGTTGCCTGTGTGAGTCTTTATTATCACATAAGGATTAATGTTCTATGGTAATAGTTACCTTAATAATACTTTATACATGTAGTTCCCTCCAGTGTTTTTCTACACAGATAGACAGTTTAGACAGTACTGTACCTTCTCACTTCCCAGTGATTAGACTGCGTTGGAAATCAGAGGCTTGTAACAGAACAAGCAGCAGATATTGCAATTTAAGTTAGAAGGAGTGGGAAGTACACCTACTCTGCTTATCATTCCTTTCTTCTGTTTACCCACTTTACTTCCCAAAACAAGCTTGCAGTACTTGATGCAAGCTGAACAAACGGTGTAGACATCAAATGTTTCTGGTTCATGTATGGTATGAGTTACTTGTGTCAAACAAATCCACCAAAGCATAATTACTCTTTAAACAAAGTAATTACTTGTACTCAAAAAGTACCGAGTTAAGCGCTGTCTGGATTACTTCTTAAATAAACTGATGTTCTATAATACTCTCTGTCTCAGAAAGAGAGCTGTTTGATGTTTTATATAGGACATAATGTTTCTTTAGTTTTTTCCTCTTGGCTTCAGCATTCCCACCATTCTTCATATGCCTTGTTTCTGCACTCTTGCTTCCCAACCAGTGACCAAGCACAATAACACACAGTTTTCCACTGTCCAGTGTTTCAATATAGTAACTTTTCCTATATTAGGAAAATTACATACACATCTAATTCAGAAATTGGGAAATTAGATATACATCTAATATAGCTCTGCAGTTGTGAAGAGCTACAGTCACTAGAAGAACATACCTTATTGCAGAGGTGGCGAACACTTGTCCGTTAGATCCTATGCTCAGAACAACAATTGAGGCTACTACCACAATTAGATCTGTTAAAAAAAAAAACCAAGAATGTATTAAATGTTAGCTCTCAGCACTGAAACACACAACAAATACGGACTGAGAAAAGCACTCTAAAAAAAGAAATGAAGTTAGCTGAAATTTGGTGGGCAGTAAGTTAATGTAACATCAAAAACCAATGACTACAGTTTCTTCCATGATGAATTTAATAATGGAAATTTTAAAGATCCTGACAGATCAGGCAGCTTGCCACAAAAACAACAAAGGCAAAGGCATATGTACACCCTAGAAATGAATCCACATTTTGGCTCAAGGCTCTTGAAAGTAAGGGTTTGCTTCGATCAATAATGAAATGCATAAAGTCAAGTATCATACACATGTACGCACGCATACACTTAGTTTAAAAATTGTATCAAAGCTATAAAGCCAAGCTTTCAAAGTTTAGGGAACTGTCAGAACAAAAGTTGCCTAAAAAGAATCAGAGTTGTTGGTTTCCATTGTGATACAGTCTTTAATTGTATGAAAAAATAATTGTTTCCAGAGTTTCATTTTTTTTCCACAACTCCACAGTTTACACAGTTCCAGCATTATACAATGCAAATGATGGATTGTGTTCACAGTGCCAGCATCCCTTATTTTCTCTTATCCTAGTTCAGTGAACAGGTCTATTGCTTTTAATTATTGAACCCTACTCTAACATTATTCTGAGAAGACATTTTTCTAATTTCCTCATGGGCATTTCTGTGGTAATCCTCTTTAGAGCATCTAAATGCTTCACTTTCAAATTCTAACCAGAAAATAAAGGATAATATGATAAATGGGTAGCAAATGTAGACAGAATGAGGAAAAGTTTTGGTAAATGTTACTTGCCAGTTTTAAACAGGCAGTACTTTATTCTTCAGAGCACTTAACGTTATATAGCACTTCAAAAAAAACAGTGCCTGCTGACTTCACTTGCAGCTGTGAGAGCTCAGAACCTCTGTAACCTGACTTCAAAGTCTTCATTTGGACATCCAGAAAATGAGGCACACTTGTGAAAACCGATTTAAATGACTGCCACAGAGTTTCCATGTGATGCCTAGGCAAGATGCAGGATAGAATCCAACTTCAGAGGCAACAACAGTTGCTATCAACAAGGCTAACTTTTTTCCTCTCCTTTAAACATTCTCGTGCCTCATTCACAGCCATTTAGTTGCTGGAACAAATATTGCAGCAGTTCTACAACCAACAGTCTCCTTCACTCTCTGACTTAGATTAATTTCCAGTATCAGGCTGATTTTTGCTGTAAAAGCAGGATTCCTCCCCAAGGGATAGCACTCAATCAGTTTAAAGACTGTACTATAATAATTGTACATTTATGAAAATGAAAATAAATATAGGGAGGGATAAGTTAAGGCTACAGAAAGAGCTTCCATTTTGGGATAATCTTAACTTTTGAGTACCTGACCTTCCAAATTTTTTATGCTGTTCCTTTATTATGTATGTGTGTGAACATACATTTGTAAACACTCGGAATTTAGGGAGGGTTTTCTTCCCATCACATCATAATACAGATATTTGTCCTTAAGCAAATGATGCACCCTATGTCCTTACTAAGTTATCAGACATATACATATGCATCTGATGACCAGCACTGAAGGAGGAAGAGACTGACACGTAGGAAATGAGTTTCAATCAGGTAGTGACAGTAACATAGATTTTTCATTTGTACTTTCCACTTTTCTGGAAGTGTGTTCTACATGGTAGGGATATTTCTTTTTTTCCCCCCAAACCTGTTCTTCTATCTCTGTTGCTTCTCTGTTCCTAGTTTTCCTGCCAGTTTCCAATCTTTAGGCTTCTCATACTAATCCCAGTTCATTGGTTCAAACAGTCCTATTTTACACTCTAGGTCTTCAGCATATCCTTCTGCCCTTACACTGCAACCTTTCAACCCCACATATTTTCAGCCCCTACTTTTTTTCCTGCAGCCTCCTGCTTGCTTGTAGTCTCTCTATACATCCTTCTCCCAGACCCTTGCATCAGCATCCATCCTCCTGTCATTTCACTGAGCCTGTATGTCTCAGTCCATTCCTCCTACCCCACCACTTCACCTCAGCATTCAAGCCTGGTATTTTCCCTTTCCATGTGCCCTGGGCGGTTTCAGGAAGAGCACTATAAAAACAAAATCAACAGATTTTCCACGTCCAGCCCCAGCACTGCTGCTCAGAGAAACCTGAAATTTGAATTGTGCAGGCTCACTGCAGATTGAATCTTTGAAGAATATAAGAGCATCGTCTAGCAGGGCGTTTTAAGCATAAACAAACTACCAATTTTTCAGAGGCTTGTTAGTCAGACAGCTTGATGTTGATTTTCAATGACAATCAAAAAGCTATTTTCTCATGAAGTTTCAAGTATCTGCTTCAAAGTGTAGAAGTGCTAGTGCTCCTCCATAAGAAATGGCCAGAATTGTCTTTTTCAGGAACAGCTTAAATATTTTGCATGAAATGTCTCCACAAGACTCAAATTTAAGCAGACACGGCATAGAAAATACCAGGATAAAGAGCCAACATTTGTTTAAATAACTTTTTCAACTCTAACAAGCATTAGTATTTAGAATAACATTACATTAGTATTTATATTAGTTTTTAAAAAGGAAAGTGTCAGGAAGCCTTGGTAATTTAAAAAATTGAATTCCAGTAATTTATAAACAGCGATATGTGGATATCCTTCTCAAACATTCTACCTACTTACATGTTTGCAAACATGTCTGTACATACACATGAGCCATGGAGAGACAAAAATGACATCGCGTCTTCTATATAATATGTGCACTGCATATGTAGACGACAGACCTACATAAATCACATTCCCTAAAATTTAGCATGTGTAGTACACAGCTTTGAAAACCTCATCCACTTCTAGTCCACTGTCCCTGTGGCTTACTCTTATATTCTGAATCCTTGAGAAATTTCAAACAGCTGTCATTTTTATCTAAAAAATCAGCTTGCCAGTGAAACATTACTTAGTTATGCATAAACTTCAGCACAGCACATAGCAACACCTATAATACAGCTTACCTGAGTATTGCTTTTTTGAGCAAATTGCTGACTTGTTTCTAATGTTCTCACAAGTTTACTTTCTAGTATGCTTTTTGATTAAAAGCAATTACTTTCTCAGCTTTTTGATTAAAAGCAATTAATCCTTTTTAAATTTAAAACAGTAAAAATATTTGCATTTGTAATTTAATTTTTAGTTGCCATAGTATTTTATAGAATGTAAATAGCCCTCAGCTTGCAGGTGTGTTCTTAGCAGTCTGGAGATAATATGATGTCCATAGGACTTAAATTAAACAGATTATATGCACATATTTGAATTTGATTTACATCACATTCTTTTTTGCTGAACTTTTGTGTTCTATGGACACTTCATAAATTAGGTTTATACAAAGTAACTTTTTTTTAAACAAAAAGAGCTTTACATACCAGGTGCTGATGCTTTTTCAGAGCTGTATACATAACCAATTATAGATGCTCATAAATAAAGTTCTATTGTCCTTTACTTAAAGACAATATGAGATGGACACACATATGTGGACTTAGGTCTTTATACCAGCAACCTATGTCCCCCTTATGTCTTTCAAACTGCATGTTGTCAAAACCAGGAGAAACAAAAGTTAATTCATAAATTGATTCTTTGTGACATTTTCTGCAACAACAACAACAAAAGGATAAAAGAGGTTGTGAAAGGACATTCTCTTGATTTTGCCTGTGCTTGGTACCTGCCTTTCATAAAACCCTAATTAGGCTGGGATTTTCAGAAGCATTTAGCTCCTAACCTAATCCTACTGAATAGTAACTAATAGAAGTGTTAAATCAATATTTAGGAAAGGTATCACTATTACTGCTGCTGCCATAGTACATGAGCACCGCACACTCTTTAGAAATGCTCATTCTGTGAACTAGGGAATGCAGAAGCACGGAGAGATAAAGTGTTTTTCCTAGGCATTCTTAGTATGCCGGGAATGAATTCAATCTATGTCTCCTGACAGGTTCTTTAATTATAGAATTGTCCTTTCTCACTTAAAGGTAAACACCTATAATCTGTCTGCAAAGAGGAGAAAAATTAGGCTAACTTTAGAAAATCTACCTAAGAAATAAAAATTTTTTATTTACAAGGTAGAGAAGTTGCATCATTACTCATTTTAGATAAAATTTTAAAAGACCATTCAAGAAATAGCGTGTCCTATCTTAACATTTTCCTTCCCCAGTTATAGAAGTTGCATGTTAACATACTATTTTATGCAGCATGGAATGCAATATTAAACAAGTTTAAAAAAGAAGGTAATAACTAGGCTTGACTACTAAATCTCTTTCTGGTAATAAGCACCAAAATAATTTTTATTTACAATAAGAGAGGGGAAAAAAGGAAAGAGAATGGGAGAAATTAAAGAAGTTCAAAATTGCTACCCAAGTTGAACTTTCTAGGAATTAATCCAAATTTTAGTGTGGACAAAAACCCATGAAAGGCATCTCTCTGATATCAAAGACATTTCAATGATATTTTCTGATTTTAAAATGAAGACCTTTGTATTAACGCAAAAGTAAAATGAATACCTTACTTTACATTCTGTTCTAATCCTTTTATTTCTTTTTCTAGTGTTTGTAATTTATTCTTGTTGATTTGAAAATGATAGGATGAATCAGTATGATTCTATCATTCACAGCAAATATATTTCCCAAGTTTAGCTATTTGGATTAGTATAGACACAATTCCATCTGCATTTGATATCTAAAAACAAATCTTGACTTTAAATGTATTGTATTCTCAGGGGAATTTTAAATGTAAAAACAGTACTGATACCTTTGAATGCACAACCAGCTGTAGTGATTCTTAGCTTTTCTTAATAAAAAACATTGTATCTCCTCCAAGGGCTATATAAACATTAATGTTTACTGTGATAGATGCACAATACCAGTATAGAGAACCACTATCAAGTTGAAATCACAGTTTAACGGGACTGCCACTTTTTCTCCTGCACCTGTATACTCTAATATACCTGCCTAAGAAGCATTTCTTAATTGAAAGAGAAGTCAGGAACATGATTAGGAGGAAAACAGTTACCTGTAGGCTTCATGGTTAGATCATGAAACTACATCAGCTCTAGAAGCAGCCGAAGAATTTGTTTGTATGTAATGAAACACTTCTTTCTCAATAACCCAAAACTGAGTACAGTATCTCATCACATTATTTACTACCCACATCTAGATGTATAACAGAATATGTTGTTTCCTGAGTTTTTGCATCAAGTTCCATAAAGTCACAGATGGTTAAAGAAACATCAGGTCATTCTCTTCCCTTTTCACCTCTCCCACTTTGCTCTATTTAAAACTCAATTAGTTGATGTTTGAGTAACGTAAAATTCGCAGCTCTACTGGAGTCTCTATAAAATCACAGACTTAAAACAGAAACACTGACTTTATGGTCTACTACAATTTTGTCCTAACATCACCTTTTATTAATCCCTCACTGTTCCACAGGTTCTATTAGTCACCTCTCCCCCTAAACTCTCTTCTACTCCAGAGATGCTACCCACAATAGTCCCTCAAACCACCTAAAACTGCTTAACTTTAGTACTACACAGGGGAATTTTTCCTGAGTTATACTTTGCACATTTCCATGTTTTTTCCCAATTTATACTCACTTTTGTGCTTACTTTCTACAGCAGACCTAAGGAAGGATTTTGTGTTCAAAATCTTGTCAATTTTCTCCAATTACACAAGTAGATTTATTAAAGATTTCTTCACAATTTTGCCTTCCTTAAGCTGATGTCTGCTTGTGTCTCACAGCCATACTTTAAATGTTCAGGTCTAGCAATCCAAAAGAAGAAATAACTGCATAGGTTCACAAAGCAGGTAAATGCTTGAGTGATAGACATAGCTCAGAATTGCAATACGGTCCCTGCAGTAGTTGACATTTTACTTTAAAATGGATGATAATAGCAAAGTCAAGAAAAAAAAAAAGAGTTTAAATCTTACCGATAATTGATATTGGCTTTCTGGCAAACCGTATTCTTCCCTGGAAGCCAACATACTTACTCCTGCAGCCTGCAGACCACAATCGGACCACATATTCAGCACCAAAAAACACAACCAAAACTATTTCCTATCAGAATTAAAAGGACAAAATATCAGGGTTTTTTCATTAAAAGACAGACTACAGTTTACACATCTAATTTATTCCTATGACTAATACAAATAAGCTTGTTGACATGAAAGATACAAGGCAAAGGATTGTGTCTAATCTGTTCACTTTTTATATGCATATGCCAGCCAGTATGTAAAAGGGAGATATAATTTGGTCCTGAATGTGATTTGCATGAATAAAAGGATGGTTTAAGCTCCATTCCATCAGTATATCATAGGGAAAACCACAATATTCTTCTTCTTTTGTTTCTTTCCAGAAGTTAAAATTTTTAAAAATAAGGAATGGAGGGAGGCTACAAGCATATCATTCCTAAAACTAACAAGTATATGAAACATTTCTAGATCATGAAACAGAATTTATAAACATAAAAGCAGAAAGTGTAATGTCAGCTTTTGTATATTCAAAATAGATTAATAGAATATCTCAAGTTGGAAGGGACCCATAAGGATCATCAAGTCCAACTCCCTGCTCCTCGCAGGACTACCTAAAACTAAACCATATGACTAAGAGCATCACCCAGACACTCCTTGAACTTTGTCAGGCTTGGTGCTCCCTGGGGAGCCCATTCCAGTGACCAACCACCCTCCCAGTGAAGAACCTTTTCCTAATGTCCAATGTGAACTTCCCCTGATGAAGCTTCATTCCATTTCCTTGTGTCCTATTGCTGGTCACCAGAGAGAGCAGAACAGTACCTTCCCCTCCCACTACTCCTCTTGAGGAAGTTGTAGACTGCGATGAGGTCACCCCTCAGCCTTCTCTTCTCCAAGCTGAACAACCCAAATGACCTCAGCCACTCCTTGTAAGTCTTGCCCTAAAAGCCTTTCACCATCTTGGTCGCCCTCCTCTGGATACAATCTAATAATATGATGTCCTTCTTATATTGAGGCATCCTAAACTGCTTGAGGTGGGGCCGCACCAGTGCAGTGCAGAGTGGGACAATCACCTCCCTCGACCGGCTAGCTATGCTGTGCTTGATTCACCCCAGGACACGGTTGGCCCTTCTGGCTGCCAGGGCACACTTTTGACTCATATTCAACTTGCCATCAACTGAAACCCCAGATCTCTTTCTGCGGGGCTGCTCTCCAGCCTCATCCCCCAGTTTGTATGTATAACCAGGATTGCCCCATCCCAGGTAGAGAATCCAGCACTTGCTTTTGTTAAATTTCATATGGTTGGTGATTGCCCAGCTCTCTAGTCTATCCAGATCTCTCTGTAAGGCCTCTCTACCCTCGAGGGAGTCCACAGCTCCTCGTAGTTTAATATCATTGACAAACTTACTTAATGTAGATTTGATTCCTGCATCCAGATCATTTATAAAAACATTAAAGAGCACTGGCCCTAAAATTGAGCCCTGGGGAACCCCACTGGTGACTGGCTGCCAGCCTGGTGTAACCCCATTTATTACAACCCTTTAAGCCCGATCCACCAGCCAATTGCTCACCCAACATATTATGGACTTGTCTAGCTGTGTGCTGGACAGTTTATCCAGAAGGATACTGTGAGAGACAGTATCAAAAGCTTTGTTAAAATCCAAAACCACCACATCTACTGACTTCCCTTGGTCAACTATGGGTGACCTTGTCATAAAAGGAAATTAAGTTGGTTAAGCAGGACTTTCCCCTTGTGAACCTGTGCTGGCTATGACCAATGACTGCGTTGTCTCTCAAGTGTTTTTCGGTAACTCCCAGAATAACCTTCTCCATAATTTTACCAGGCACTGAAGTGAGACTGACAGGCCTGCAATGACCATGGTCTTCCTTCTTACCATTCTTGAAAATTGGGGCAACATTGGCCGGCTTCCAGTCGACTGGAACCTCTCCAGACTCCCGGGCCTGCAATTACCAGGGTCTTCCTTCTTACCCTTCTTGAAAACTGGGACAGTTGCCAGCTTCTAGTCGACTGGAACCTCTCCAGACTCCCAAGACCATTGAAAAATAATGGAGAGAGGTCCCGTGATGACATTGGCCAACTCTTCCTGTACCCTGGGATGAATCCCATCAGGCCCCATAGATTTATGTGCATCCAGCTGGAGCAGCAAGTCTCAAACAAGTTCAGGGTCAGCTGGGAGTTTATCATCCCCCCAGTCATGGTCTTTCAACACAGGGCCCTGGGGTTCCCAGGGTCCATCATCGGTGTTGAAGACAGAGGCGAAGAAGGCATTAAATGTCTCTGTCTATGTCCCTGTTTGTGAGGTGACCGACCTCGTCAAGCAATGGCCCAATGCTATCTCCGATTCTCCTTTTGCTATTAACATATTTTAAAAAGCCCTTTTTGTTGTCCTTCACAGTGCTGGCCAGCTTAAACTCTAATTGAGCTTTGGCTGCACGAATTTTCTCCCTACCGTGGTGAACAGTATCTCTCTAGTCCTCCCATGTGGCCTGTCCTTGCTTCCAACGTCCGTACACTTTCCTTTTCTGCCTAAGTTCTAGAAGATCACTGCTCAACCAAGCCGGCCTTCTGTCCCACTTGCTTGACTTCTGACACTTTGGAATTGCCTGCTCCTGTGCTCTTAGGAGATGGCTCTTAAAAAGTGACCAGCATTCATGGACCTCAATACCTTTAAAAGCAGATTCCCAGAGGACCTTACGAACTAGCTCCTTCAGCAGCCTGAAGTCTGCTCTCCCCATATCCAGGATCGAAGTTTTGCTAGCAGTCCTCCTCCTATCACCAACTTCTGAAATTCAACTACTTCACGGTCACTGTGACCAAGACAGCCACCAATCACCACTTCACCCACAAGTCCCTCTCTGTTTACAAACAACAAATCTAGGAGGGCACCTTTCCTAGTCAGCTACCTGCACCAAGAAGTTATCTTCAACATGCTTCAGTAATTTCCTGGACTTGTTTGTGTCCGCTGTATGATATTCCCAGTTAATGTCTGGGAAGTTAAAATCACCCGTAAGGACAAGGGCAGCTGATCTAGAGATATCCCTTAATTCCTTGTAAAATAATTCATCGATGTCGTCGTCCTGGCTGGGTGGTCAATAGTAGACTCCCACAACAACATCCACTTTATTTGCTTTCCCCTTCATCCTTACCCAGAAGCTCTCAACCATGTCATCGCCAACTATAGGCGCCATACAGTCCAACCCCTCCCTTATACAGCGCCACCCCCCCACCTTGCCTGCCCTGCCTATCCCTCCTGAAGATCCTATAATGGTTCATCACGGTACCCCAGTCACAGGTGCCCATGAGGTTTCGCTTATGCCAATGATGTCGTAGCTCTGGGACTGGGCCAAAGCTTCTAGCTCCTCTTGTTTATTCCTCATGCTGCGCGCATTAGTGTAGAGACATTTCAAATGTGCTCCAGTGTACTCAGCACATCGTGGAGCAGACTGAAGGACCTCGCTAGCACACTGTCCCTCAAAAATCACATGCCACCCTCAAGCTTATCTCTAGCAAGTCTGTTTTTATCCTTTTCCCCCCTTCAAATCTAGTTTAAAACTCTTTCGATGAGCCCTGCTAACTCCTGTGCAAAGATCCTTTTCCCTGTTTGAGACAGGTGTGCCCCGTCTGTCGCCAGCAGGCTTGGTGTCGTGTAGACAGACCCATGATCAAAAAACCCAAAATTCTGCCAGTGACACCAGGCTCAGAGCCAGGTATTGATCTGCTGGGTCTTCCTGTTTCTTCCCTCATCATTCCCTGCAACTGGAAGGATAAAGGAGAACACTACTTGTGCTCCCGATCTCTTAACCAGTCGTCCCAAGGCCCTGAAGTCTCTCTTGATTGCCCATGGACTTTTTGTTGCAACTTCATCGCTGCCTACATGAAAAATCAATAATGGATAATAATCTGAGGGTCGTGCCAGGATAGGAAGTTTTCTCTTCACATCTTTAACCCAGGCCCCTGGGAGGCAGCAGACTTCCCCAAGAAGTGGCACCTGGGCGGCAGCATGTCCCCGTCGGAGCTCTGTCCGGGAAGCTGCATCAGTCGTGGCAGGCGCAGAGTTTAGAGAGGACACGGCCTTCTGCCATTGCTCCCCAGCTGAGCTGGCAGAGCTACAGCGTCCTTCCCGCGCACAAACTGCCGCGCCATGCCCTGTTTGCCCGCCCTGGTCGCTCGCGCTCCCTAGGGGGTTCTGCTATGGGGGGAGGCTCGGCACCACCCAGGTCTCATCAGCTGCTGTGGCGCGAGCTGCGGGCTCTGGCGGGGCTCTCGGCCCCCTGAGGTTCCCCTGGTTCGGGACCCCCCCGTGCACCACGCTAGAGAGCTCCGCTGCCGATTGTGCCGGTACCAGAGCTGCTCGCCTCAGCGACTGAGGCGACCAGTATATATACAGCATATAAAATAAATGAATGATCCATATTTTAATATTGCTTCCCTCTATAGCACTATATTGTAAAGCACTCGTGCATAACCAAGAGTCAGTATACTTTGAGATACTTCTAAAGAAAGCAGATTAGTAAAGATCACAACATGGACAAATTTGTTGAGATCTTTGTTTCTTCCTTCCTTGTTTTCCCCTGCCACTGCAATATGCTAGCACAACCAAAATACAGCTTCTAGGCTTTGTTCCAACCCAAACTGTATCCAGTAACTCAGAGTCACCAAACACCTACTACATAAATTACAACTTTGGAAAATATTTGTATTTTAACTTAAACATGCTTGCAATCTACACCTGGGGAATTCTAAAACGCCCAAAGAGTGAACACACTTAAATCACAATTTTCACTGAATAACAATGCCAACATGTCTTTAAAACTGACATTCTGAATGTTTGAAAAGAGACCAAAATATTTTAAAGCTGAAAAACAGATAAGAAAAACTCTACACTAATATGCAAATCTTCACTTCAATTTTGATTTTTAACAAAGATAGGTTAACATTTCTGTATTCGTTTCTACCTCCTTGTTTTGCCTGGAATGAGAACCAAGAAAATATGCACAATCTTCCTCTGTTTTCATGGCACTTTCAGCCTGACTAAAACCAAGGATTAGTAGAAAGCTAAGAAAGTTTACAGCACAGTTTCAAGGCAGAAGCACAAGAAAATACACAGCAAATTAGCTCCACAAGTTTGATTTTTTAAATTAATGTATTATCTAGAGCTTCTACAAGTAATACTTTTAAGTTTGTGCTCTGTCTGAAATCTAAATGCAAACATTTATTCAAGCATAACAGTCAAAGCACAAATCAAGAACAATCTTCACAGGAAAACAATTCTTCCATTTCAGGAATCTTGCAAAATGCTCTCTCACTTATTAAATTGTTTACATTTTTAGCAGGTTCCTGGTATCATCACTTAGTAGCATTTGTTTTCAAGTCTCTTATTAAGGATCTCTTATTTCCACCAAAGGAAGCAGAACACTGTCTATATGGACCTAGTAGACCTGCTGAAGGAATAGCACTGAAGCTTTGCAGTAGACTGTCAAGTCATGAGCACTTCTTTCTGTAATTAGGCAGAAAGCTAGTACCAAAGCTGAAAAAGAATTTCTGAAGCAAACAGTTCCACGTCCTTATCTGCAGACTAAAATGGCTGAGCCCCACTGAGCTCCACCTCAGAAATACATGTGTTCACAGTCTTACAGGAAGAAACACAACTAGAAAGTATAGCTTATTTTACCCTTTGACAAGGGAAGATATCCATAGCGATTCGAATGAAAACAAACGTGCCATCCAACTGCGTCAAAAGCATGCTTCTGCCACTTAGTGGCAGTTTATTCAACGTCAGTCCTAACAGACAACACTGATGGCAGTGGAAGAATCACTTCTACAGAAATTGCATATTAGAATCACTGGGTCAGTTAGGTAAAAAATTGTGTAGAAAGGAGACATGCAGATAGGTGCTGAGGAAGCAAAAACTTTTTAGACTTAGGTTATTCCTTGATGATCCTCTGAGGGTACTTCTAAAAGCTGAAATTAAAACTATATCTGGCCTGAGGGTATTTTATTCTCAAGGCAAATTCCAGAACCTATGATTTTATTTCAGCTACCAACAAGAACCCATCCTGGTTATGTTCGGGAAACCGTGATGAAGTCAATAAGGTTGCACAGTCTATGGAAAGAAAAATAAATTGTTGACAGGAAGGAGGAAGAAGGAGGAACCTACATCTTTAATAAATTTAAAATTAATTACTGATGTCAGTTCATTTCGTCCTGGACAGGTGTCCACATTACCAAAACCACAGCAATTAGCACATTTGTTGGCAGCCTCAGACAGGCCAAATACCAAAAGAGCATGGAAACCGGACAAACATTACAGTTCTATAGGTGGTCCCTCCTAAAAAAAAAAGAAAAGAAGGAAGATTTTAAATTTACAGTGTTGTTGTGTATACTTCTAATGAAAGATAGAAGACATCCATTTCCAGGGCTGTCAAGACTGATCAAGCTTCACCTCACTAAATTCACCTTTAAAAAAGCCCTAACCTGCCTCCTTTTCCTCCTATACACATAAACACTTTTCAGAACCTTAAATTTATTGGCTCACATTTACCTTCTGTTAAAGACAAAAAAACCCATCAATCTTCTGGAAAGTCAGAAAAAATACTTGTTCTCACCAAAATGGCAACAAAAGATGGTGAGGAGTTGTTGTGGACAAAACATGAACCAGAAAAAATCTGCAAAAAACCCCCTGCAAATTGAATAGTATGCTAAATATGCTCCTAATGATTGACATTCATCTATTCAATGTCAGTTTGAGATCTTTCATCAGCTTTCTGAAATTTTCCAGAACCCTTGCTTTCAAAATGGGATTATACTCACAAGGATCCCACAAAACTTTTTTATTTAGGCTTCCAGCAGTATTTTTCCCCTTCTCCTGCAAGTGGTGAAGGAAGAAATACATGATGGAGGATTCTCAGCAGATTCATAAACCTGGAAAGCCATTTGGCATCAACAGAAAGCCAGGGATGAACTCCTCTAATGAAATCAAAACCAAAAATAACAAGTAGGAACAAACCATTACCTGAAAAAAATAAGAACCACGTCAGGCTTGATCAAAATAGACATAATAAATACCCTTGGCCACTCAGCTTTGAGTGTCAGCCTTCCATTTTTCTCAGCAACCCTTCTCTGAACTCCTATGAGGAAAGAAAGGGAAAGCAAAGCTGCATATCCTTTGAACAGAACAGCTGCCATAAACTGCAGGACGTTTGCCATGACCCATTGAAGGATCACGAGGCAGGTGTGGAAAAACGCTGAGCATCATGCTTTGTCTGGGGCACTGAACCTGCTCCAGAGGCACAGCCAGAGGCACACCGTATTGACAAATGTACCAGTGGAGAGGGTCTTTAGGCAGCGCTGCAACTCCAGTTATCTTCCAGGAAGCGGAGCACAGAGTAAGGAAACAACAGTACGGACCAGATTCTTCACGCTCACATGTTAGTCTCTTCCTGTTTTGTTAGTGGTAAAGGATACTCTTGGTAATTCAAATTGCCACAGTAACACTAGGGAAAGCATTTAACAGTATCTGCCTATCCACTGTAAAGAACTGACATATAATGTAATCACAGATTTTAAACTGGGCTTGTACTATCTAATATCTCTGCTAAAGTCAGTGGCAGCGTTCCATTATCCTGTGCTTGTCCCTGTTGTCTGGGAAAAAAAACACCAAAACACACACCTATAATATCCTTTGCCCAGTCAGGTAGAAGCCCTTAAACTCATTTCATCTTTGTACTTCTTTGCTTTTTCTTAAGTCTAGTCACTGCATAAGTCTTTCTTTTTCCCCCACAAAAATAAATCCTGAAATAATACATAACCATGTTTATGCTATTCTTAGTATAACTCCATTTTATTAATTTTATTAAAAATATGAAAAAATAAACTTAAAGGGAAATACGTATGCAAATAACTTCCATCCGTATCTAATTCAATCAGTCAAATAAGAAACTCTTGTGGAAAAGCCATCAACTTTTACCCAAGAATGTAATTGATGACCAAATAAAAAAAATACTCACATTAACACAGAAAATCAACATTTTGTACAGGAGCATGTGTAAATGAAATATATAGCCTGGAATTTACAATATGTTCCAGTACGGTTATGGATAACTGCATGGGGGAAGCAGGAGAAGGGAAGGAGTTCGGCTGGAGTGATTAAAGTGCACACATGAAAAAGACGAGTATTTTCTCAGCTGCAGCTGTGTTTTAGGTGGAGAGCACACACAAGGCTCTCTTCACTTTTTTTATTGGAATATTTAGGTGCTCGGGTAAAAGGAGGAAGTGGGATGGCTAAATGAATAGTGTGTGCTCACGAAGATTCAATCAAGGAATGGCAGCTCAAAACAATGAAGCCTCAGAAGCAGGCATAAAGGTTTAATAGTCCAAA